CACTCCGTCTTTTAGAGCACTTCTTTAGAGACGTAGGTGCAGTCAATTAAATATTTACAACTCCTGGCAAATGGGGTGGGTTTCACAGGAGCTCAGAAGGGGGTTCATATGTCTGAAAGATCTCCCTCAAGCCTACAGCAGCAAATATTTAGCAATGAAAGAGCATCCAAAGCTACTGTAGACAAAGGAAACCTTATTTAGTTTTTATCTTACCATCTGGTTTAGCTTGTAAGCTTTGGAGCAAGAAAATAGCCTGTAGTGTGTATTAATTGATAATATATAAAACAGAGTTTCTTAATTATAGGTTCCATGACCTTTATCATCTTTATATATTCAGGTATTAACTAACTTAAAAATCGTTATAGTGACAAAATATGCTTTCATGCACCTTTTTGTGGACCAACATTATACATTTTAAAGTTGATAGCTACATGATTAACTTCTCCCACCTAGTTAGTGGACCACTCACACTTGCTCAGTCTTGTTCTGTACTGTTTTCCAGATGGTTGCCAGGTCCTATAATGCTAACCTTTGGTAATTATAAGCAAATATTTAACTTACCTCTTCAAAACAAAACCAGCAACCTCCCTTGGGCTTTCTGAGCCCCCTTGCTTCCTAAAGTCTTCACCAACGCTCAAGATTCACCAATGTTTACCATCATTTTGAGAACCTGTTAATTTTTATTTTGCTGAGAAGAAGCCATTTCTTAGCTGGGACACAGTACTACAAGGATTTGTTGGGTTTCAAAGTTACTTCAATTTACTATTCCTATTGGTGGAGAATCCAATTATGATGACATTTATGTCATAACCAGAATAAAATATTCATATATTTTGGACCTATCATACCATTTATAGTACAATCATTACGCTGGTGAAGATTCTCAGTCATCCAGGTAAAAAAAACAATCCACTGGACTTTGTTTTCCAAGTTTAAAAGCGTTTGGCTTCCCATCTAGAAGGTGAATTAAATTAATTTTGAATTGAAAAAGCTTCCTGGATGGGAAGCGAAACGTCTTCATGTTTTTCTTTTTTTTTTTTTTTTACTTTTTTGAAGAACAATCTTTATATACTTTTTGATTAAAATTTTGTAGCTATCAATCCTTGGCTTTAAGCTGAATTCTGATGCTAATCATGAGTTCTCAAACATTCCACACCATCATCATAATATTTTAACCACCCCACATTAAATTGTTCACCAATCATATTGAGGTATTATGGTTAAAGGTGGGACTAAAGCTGTGATAAAAACAGCTGCTGAACGCATAGTCAAACCAGAATAGACATTGTCAGAAAGAGGAACAGCAATGCCATAAGTTGTTGTGACTTCTCATGGTGTCTGCTGCTATTTCATTTTTTACCGTAATTGGCTAAAGCCAAAATTTGGTAGGTTTGTACTAGTTGTTGCTTTGCCCAATCAGGTGGTAATGTTCTTCAGAAGGTCTCCCACTCCCTAAACATATTAATTGGGAGCAGTCCCAGATCAATATTGTGTAGAGGTATCTACACTAATCTAATTGCTTACCTAATCAGTCTAACTTGCCAATTTATTAGCTATGGCCTATAAACAACTGCAATAACCCATTGTATTTTATTTTAGACAATAAACATTTTGGTTTTAAAAGTTTGTAGTATATGATCTCTAAATAAGGACAGCCATAGGAATTAATAGAACTTTAAAACAGGTCAATGCCAAAAATCTGTAGATCACACTCACAGTAGCTACACTACAAAAAATAAAACAAACAAAACAACTTCAACTGAAAGCCATAAAACATTTGGGAAACTGTGCTTTCAAACAAAAGGGGTAAATTATATCTTTTGGCAGTCACAGTAAAGTTTACAATCATCTTATCACTAATATTTTCTTTATTTTTGACTAATACATTCTCATTTAATAATGATGACTCCCTGTTTTTTTTTTTGTTTGTTTGTTTGTGTAATACATCTTCTTATCAACTCCATTTCGCAACTTTTACTTTCCTCGATTTGCCCTTCGAAAAGCATTATGATGCACAGGAACAGAAAAACAGATGGGTAAATGAGGTGCAGACAGGCCACAGGGGAACACTGACACACATGCATGCACAAACACACTCCCAGGTATTCAGGAAAATATATATTCTCTCTCTCAAACACACGCACAGACCCACACACACATGTCTATATGGTACTGGTGTCTTTGAAGCAGTCTGTCAATCAATCACACACTAATTCCCGAGGTTCCGTGGTCGCCATTTACGACAGGGGTCGATGCTCGGTAACCGTGGACACAGCGGACAGCCATCGATCTGAGACAGAAAGAGAAGCAGAGCCGTGTGTGTGTGTGTGTGTTTGATAGTCATGATGGAGAACAGCATTGTGGCTCTGCCCTCAATATTGATCGACTCCTGGTTGCACTGAGGCGAAGCGGGCATTCTGACTCTGTGTCCGAATCTGTGTGTACTTGATTGAGCATGTGTGTGTGTGTGCTTTCCTATGTTTCTAGACATGCAACATAAAGTGTGTTAGACGATCAAGGTGTTCTTGAGAGGAGTAATCAATCAGCAAATACAGTGTTGACCCCACACAGGGACTTCATTTTATTCACCTTTATTTTTTCTGTTCCTTTGTGCACTCTCCTAAACGTAGCTGAAGATCTACGCTTGATCTTGAAAACCTGGTGAAATGTTTTTTTTTATCTTGTGTCATTTGATCTGTAACAACTTATCACTTATAAGTAGTACAAGTTCTTGTTAATATTTTATCTGAAAGTTAATATCTTGCAAAGAATTGGGATAAAAATGTCCGGTTGAAGATCTGGTCCGCTGTTTAAAAACTGGGAATACATCCGATGCTGCTCCTTGTGAATACTTGAATTAAACTTGCCCAGGACAGTTGAGGAAGGTGAACATTGCCACTTTAAATAATCTCCTTTACCCTTTAAATAGTGGGACCACCAGCCTGGTGTGCCACTGCTCAGATGTTGTCTTGAGACAGTTGTCCAGAGGTTTCTTTGTGCCAACTAAAGGTCCAAAAAATGTCAAATTCCATCCAAGTATGATAGGTGTTCACAGCCATAGAGGCCACTGTCCTTCCATTACATGTCTGCTATAGCCATGCAAGGCCTCCCTCTTAAGCTTGACAATGATAATCCCTGCTGATGCCCACTCATGGAGCTAGTGGTTCCTGTCTTGGCAGAAACTGATGATCATCAGGCCAGAGCTACCAGAAATGGCATTTGCAATGAAGGCCCTTGTCCATTTGGACCCTAAGTCTCCTATCTCCCCTTGAAGATGATAGCATTCGAACCTTTAGGTTTGATTTGGTAGTTCTCAGCCAGACATTCCCATCAAGACCAGATATGGTTTTCTTGGTCAGCATGTTCGTTCGCCTCCAGGTCCAGCTTACTACTGACTTTTAGAGCTCTTCATGGACAGGCACCAGACTACATTAAAAACCTCATCCAGCCTTATGTTTCCATTAGGGACCTTCGGTCGTCCAATTTGAACTTGCTGACGGTTCCTCTGTCCCATTTTAAGACCCGAGGAGACAGATCTTTTAAAGCTGTGGCACTCGCCTCTGGAATGAGCTACCATTTACCATTCGTTCTCTTGTTTGTATAGACACTTTTAAGAAACAACTAAAGACCCACTTTTTTAAACTCGTTTTTTAGTTTAATACTGCGTTTACTGTTTTTGGATGTTGTTTTAATTTATAGAAACCTTTTTATAAATTTGTGCAGCACTTTGTGACCCTGGTCTGTGAAAAGTGCTATAGAAATAAAGTTTACTTACTTACTTACTTACTTACTTACTACCTGGATGTGATCAGCAGACGGTTATGTCTCTTTAGAATAAGAAAGTTTTTTTCTTACTATCTGCTTGCACTATAGTTTGTGTATGAATGCAGAGATGTGCTGGTGGTAATCCTGCCTGGAGTTAAAACAGTATTGCATTTTGGCAGCATTGTTTGATCGTTTCATATTGTCCTATTTGGAGAAGTTTTCCTGCATTTGGAAGTTCTTAGGCTGAATAATTTCAGAAAAAGTCTACTGCATGTCGTGTTAACCAATCACTGCTCAAAAGAGCTACTTTTACAACTCAAAAATGTAAAGATATTTTAGAAGACACATTCTTTAACATTTCAGAGTAAATATGACAATTTAGAAATGACTAACTTCTACTCTGCATCAGTCAGTGGATAATGTGACTATATGTATTAATTTGTCTAGGTTAGAATAACCTGCATGCAGCTCTGTCCTTCATACCTTGCTCAGCCATCCATCCAGCCGACCTTCCATCAATCCATCCATTCTGCTTTAAATTAAATTTCAAACTCCTCCTCCCCTCCAACCATCCCGCCACCCCCAGCCACATCCCTCTACCTTGTTTTCTTTATAGCTTACAGACAACTGTACAGTGTGTAATGGACATTCCTGCAGGGCCGTCAAGCGTGACCGGGGCAAAACCAACTGACCTAAACACACACGCACACCAAAGTATGCGGAGATAAGCATGAATGCATACTCTCTCCCTCACTCAGACACACATACTCTTAAACATAAAAGCATGCAGCACAATTGGAAAACTAACATGCACGCTTACTCACATAAGGGTAGTTGTACCGACACACACATACACACACACACAAACACAGGGGGGTCATCTCTCTCACTCTGCTGGTTGCTCTGTATAGAAGTCAGTTCCAGGTCAGTGCACAGAGCTAGGGATCTTAGTCCTTACAAAACACTGTGCGTGTGTGTATCAGTTAATATACACTAGGCCCGAGGTGTCTAAAACTGCTCTAAACACTGGTGCTGAAAAGAGAGCTTGACATCGACCTGTCTTAACTGTCACAATGTGTGCAGAAATGCACCCTGGGTAACAGCAGGCTGCGCCTATACTGCCTGTTTGTGATTGGTTCTCTGCGAGAAACATTAGAATTGATGGGTTTCAGATCAGCTGACTGGCTGTAAGGACAAGGAAATGACTAACAGAGTTGTGTGTGTGTGTGTTTTAGGCCTGACCGCAGCAGCCATGGCCGAGCTGCAGAAGCTGCAGAAGATGAAGATGATGATGAGTCTCCAGAATGGCAATGAGTCCGACAACGATGACCTGCACTCCAACACAGGTGCACGACCCTTGCACAAAGAATAAAACATGCCGACTAACAGGGGAGAGAGTTGCTTCTCGCACATTAAGGCACAGGAAGAGTCCAGATACGGGGACACTGTGTGGAAGTTTTGTGTGAACATTAGCAATAATCTACAGAAACCCCTGGAGATGAGTTAAACTTTTTAAGGCCGTTTGTTCTTTCTGTGCGCTGTAATGAACCCTACACCCACCTTATCTGCTATCAGGCCTTTAGACTGTTATTTTGTTGTTTGCATCAGCAAAATGAACAAAACTAACGGTATCAGCAACTTGAGAAACTAAAGGAATAGTAGAAGAAAGGAGCTTCTAATAACCCCCAAACCAGTCAGAGAAATGTGTTCTTCTCAGGATAACAATGAAATTATTAGCAAAAGTTACAGGATTTCTTTAAACCTGGTCAGCTTTTCCTTTTATAAATAGATATCTTTCTAAAGATGATTCATTGTACATTCTTGGAAAAATATCTAAAGGGATACAGAAGGGAGTTTGAATCTTTAAAGTATTCGGCTATATTCTTAAGTCCTTCTTCTCTATGCTCATAAGTTAAGTCATTTTTTTACCTAATTTGTTTAATCCAATATTTTCTTCTTTTTTTGCTTGTTCCATCAGTTCAAACTAACTCATAAAACGCTTGAGAGCAAGGATTCCCAACCCACTGGGCTTTTTAGGTTCAACACCAAAAACATTCCCAACATGTCCAACACATTATGGAAACTCATCATTTACTTTTTTTTCCATCCTATATTGCTTTTTATGGACATTTCTGCCATGTCATTGTTACTTGTTTTTTAATAAACTATTAAACCTTGAGAAAATAAAAAATAACCAAAAAAACAAAACAAAAAGTGAACAAAAAATAGAGCTCTGTGGATTAATGGAGCAATATTTGAATATTAAGTAAAAGGGTAAATTTTATGTTTTTTTTTATTTTTTAACAGGGTAAGCTAAAATATTTCAAGCATGTTTTGTTATTTTGATTATTTTAGCTTATATCAAATAAAACATAAACCTGAGTGATTCAGAAAATGCTGGTGAAGATTCTCAGTCATCCAGGTCATAGTCATTCCAAAAAGTTGAAAAACAAACTTTGTTTTCCAAGTTTAAATGCGTTTTACTTCCCATCCAGGAAGCTTTTTCAATTCAAAATGTCTGGATTAGCGTTGAGTACCAAGCTTTATAGAGTAACACAACAGAGCCTTGTTATGGCTTAGAAAATATGAAAATTGAACCTCTGCATGCTACTGCTTGGTCTTAGTCAACTCTTCTCCTAGACTTTCTTTCAATTGTTTAGGAGTTCAATGACAACTCTGTATATGGAGCTTCACAGGGATGGAGTTTGGTCCCGGACCTCGGGCAGCTCTTTGATGCCAAAACTAATATCAAAGCAATTTGTAATGGATCAATTGGCCGTTCTCTGAGCCACATTTACACATATTCAGCCTGAGAAAGCCCAATTCCAGCAGGAAGGTTAAGCACCAGCCCCCAAAACACCAGGCTTGGTTTTCAGGATAATGTGGTCGATCCATCACACTCTTGATTTAGTAGAGAAATAGTTGATGAAAATTGGGCTGTGTGTGGTCGGTCTGATTTGGTCCCACTTTGGTCCAAAAATAGATGCTGAAAATATCACTGGATTATCAATGTCTTATCAATGATCTGAAAATAACAGCTTTTCACATTTCACTTTTTAACCGAATGTAGATGTCATTTGGAAGTAAATCTTCTTGTCTTTTCAATGAAATCGTGAACTTTAGTGGATGTAGTTTTGTCTGTTTGGTTAATATTTTGTCTCCACCTCAAAAGGTATACGTGTAATTTTTATCATGAGGCATGAGGGTCCACCTCTCATTTTTAATTTATAACACAGAAAAATGACATTTGTAATAATGGCACTCGCTTATAGGACAGTCAGGATGGTTTAGGCATGGCCATCGCCAATCCCTGTGGTATCCTCGGTGCTTTAGGTCCAACACAGCTGAATGAAATGGCAGCATAATCTCCTCAACTTGTCATTTAGGATTCATTTGATTTTGATGTGCTCAACCAGGGAAACATTAAATCCATGCAGGGTGTTGGTCCTTTAGCACTGCCTGTGGATTACACCTTTTAAATCTATTTTTCACAATTATGTTGTAAAATAGAAATGTTGAACTTTCCTCATCCTGGTTTTGAGTTCATTTTCAAAGGTTTTTAGTAATTTATTCTTTTTTCCGCACTTTTTTTTAAAGATAACCATCTGCTGTGTTTGTAGAGTCACTTTTTCTTGAAGATTCACCATAGTTTGGATTACTTTTTTTACTTTTTTTGTCTCTTTTTTTAGTCTCTTTACCATTACTGTAATTTTAGAACCATACTGCACCCTTTGACATTTAGGATAGAGTTTTGTTTTTTTTAGCAGTGCATTTTCATAATCCCTTCAAAACTTTTTTTTCTGTTTATTAAATGAGTCACTGATGCTTTCATACAATCCCTCATAATGGTAAAGCTTTTTTTTTAAGAAGGTGGGGCCTTTACCTGATCCCTGTGAAATAACCTGGAGCCAAAACAGTTAGATAACTTTAAAAAGAAACTCTGTTCAGGTCTGAATGTTTTGTTTAGTTTGAATATTGTTTTCTTTTTTTATATATATTACCTATAAAACTCAGGCACTCAAACTCTGCTGTTTGTTTCTCTGAATTATTAAAGATGTAAAAGACAAAAAGCAGCAGAAAAATAAAGGAAGGAGCAAACCTTTCATTTGTTTCCACCCTGATTCTTCTCTGTTTTCTCCCTTTCTTCAGCTGACCTGGCAAATGGGTTGATAGAGTTACTCTTCCTCTCTACTGTCATTTCATTCTTTCCCCAAGTCGTTTTTTATTTATCCCCTCCTGCTCTCTTTTCCCTCGCCTCCTTCTGTCTTCTTTTCTTTGGATTGGAGTGATTTTTGTGCGCTCGCAGAGAGCCTTCTTTTCTTTGTCTGACCTTGTTTTCTTTGTGAGAGACACTCACACCGGCCTGGGAAACTGTGGCGGACAATAGAACAGAGGAACCAGCGTATGAAATGAAAAAAGAAAATAAAACGAGGGAGGGGGGGGCGAGTTTAGAGAAAGGGATATTTAGGGCGAGAGAAAAAAAGGGGGAGAAAAAAAAAAGAGATGCTCTGGTGTTGGGTGGGTGGAAGTCGATCGCTCAGGCCTGTTCGGATCGCGGTGACAGAATAAAAATGAGAAAAATACAGATTGGAGGGGAGAAAGAATGACAGCAGAGATGGAGAAAAAGAGGTTTTATGTGTCAATAGACACCATATCTCTGTTATAAGAGGAAGAGAGTGAGACGAGGCGGAGCTGGGAAATAAAAGCCAAATAACTGTGATAAAGAAAAGATAAATGGGGTGAATATAAGGGGAAGGATGGGAAAAATACTGCTTGTATAAGAAAAAAAACAGACTTTACAGAAAGTCTGAATATCAGTTATTGAAGATATTCTGTAAGTTGAAATATTGTTTTAAAAAGTATCTGTGTCACACCACAGAAACTGCTGCTACGTCTTTTAAAACAAAACTATTAAGACATCCATGTCTTAGAAAAGCTACAGTGGCCACTAAAGGGTTTATGCTTTTTTAACAAATACAGTTTTCAACTGTTCATCTAAAGTGAAGAATCCCACCTAAGAAATAGTTTGGTTTTCTGCAGCCAGAGAACCAGCTTGAAACTACATCATTACTGCACTAAAGCAGTGTAATTGGCTTGAAATCTCTTCAATATTGCAGGAATATTAATAAAGGCTTTTCTTAAAGACAACATTTTTCACTAAGCTGACCATAAATATTAACATAATAGGCTAATATCTTAAGGATTCTGCAACTTCTCCACCTAAGAAAGGTGATCTGACATGGAAACTATTTTGTTTTAGAAGTTTGAAGTCTTAGCTTTAAAGTTGAATTTTTACATATTTCTTTCATTTTTAGCAAATGGTGCTTGAATGCTTTGGTATGAAAGATGCTTTTTGAGTTAATGTCTAAGAAAGTATATTTAAAAGAGTTGACAGAGTGTTGTGGAAACAAAGTTAGGAGCTCTAAACCAGGTGAATGCTGCTCCTTTCTGCCAGCTGGAAGCTTTCTCTGTGGTTTATTTAGAGTTTGACTTTGCAAAATGTAGAGGCCCCATTAATTTCTTAAACATGTAAACCTGAAGTCACAGTAGAACTTAAGCAGATTATTCTCACATTAGAATTGAAAAGATAAAGGTCTGAGCAACAAATTCCAAGTAGATTAACTTGTACCTGACTTAAAGAAAAAAAAAAAGGTGTGAAAAAAAATCTGGAAAAGACGAAAGTGTCAAAGGCCAAAAGAAGAAAATGAGAGGAGAGGCAGAGAAAGAGAGAGAACATCTGCCCATCTGTTTATTCTTCTTCTCTTCCCCGGTGTAAATGGCAGCAGAGATGAGGCCCAGCTGTCGTCCACACACACTGAGCACAGGGAATTCAGTAGGCAATAATAGAGAGAGACGGTCGCTAATTCAAACTAATGGAGGGAGATGAAGATGGATGAGAGGGAAAACGGTGAAGCAGAAGCAGAGGTGTGGAGGGCGAGAGACGCAGGATTACAAAGAGAAAGAGAGAGAACGAGTGGCGGCGTGAAGAGAGACAGCCATTAAATACATTTTCCAGTCAAACAGAACATTGTCATTGTTAATAATCAGGCTGGGTTAGTGTCACAGTGGGGGGGCTTTTAATAATTCAGCGCTGCCAGAAATGTATCGGACTCAGTTTAAAACATCTGTTGTCTCTGCAGGTTAATGATGATCACATTTAAAACTCGGACCAACCTTTAAAAAAACACTAATTTACAGATGTTTAGCAACACAATGGCAGAATTTTCCATCTTTGCATCTAACTCCAGTGTATAGAGACATCTAGTGGCTTAAACTAAAAACTACAACCAAATCAAAACCCAAGGGTAAATATATGGAATTAAAGATGTAGGGAAGTCATATTTAAATGTCAAATCATTCTGGCTTAAACATGTATATAAATGTAATCTTTAAAAGTTAGAATTTCAATTTTTTTTAAAATCCTGTCATAAAATCTGTTGGGTTTTTTTGGTTATCTTATGCAGGCCAGTTAGTTATACGTCAGCTTGTACAGCTAAATTCGGCCAATCATATATCACTGGTCATCTGTCAATCAATTTTTTTGGGTCATAGCATCTTGATTCATATGTTGCAGCTAATAAAAGCAACAGTTGAAATAAGAAATAAGAATCATTTACTTTACCACTGAGTTCCGTCCCAGTGTTCACAGGGAAGGACGTCTGTGTCTTTGGCAGGCATAGAGCTAACAGAACTGGCAGCGTTGCGAGGCAAGGGCTCAAACATGTCCGGCTGTAAGCCTTCTACACCAAACCAAGCTTCTGCCGCCCTGGTGTCCTCTTCCAGAACATCTTCGTCCCCACTTTCCTCCTCTAAATAAAAAAAATGTATGACAGAGGAGACTCATCCACGACCTCTGACACAAAACTCTCCTCCTCTTGCATGTTGCCGCTGTACATGCAAGGAAAGCTTGACACTGTCACGCATTCCTTGACAGTGTCATTGCTAAGTGCTGCTTGGTCCCAATGTAATTTCCCATTGGGAACCTACTAGCACCAAGTTGCTAACTGGTTAGCAAGATGCTTTCAACAAACCGGCCACAACCAAACATGCTTGCAATCCTTCCGCCACAACAATCCTGCCCCCTTGATAATCGACCAATCACATTCTCTTTAATTAACTCGTGTAAAGTCGGGCATCACTCGGGAGAATTTGCAGCTGTTGAAACAGCCGTTTCCCTATGACTTTAAGGTTTTATTTAGAACTTATTTTATGGAAAAGGTGCATTTTTCAAAAATGATACATCCACAGAACATTTTGAAAGTCCAACATATGAATATTTACTTCTGGTTGTGATGTCAACAGCAATTCAAAAGGATTTAGCATCAACAGTTGAAGTCATATGAGACAGAGTGCAGGCGTAGCCAGATCCAAGTCGCTCCCTGATAGAACTGAAATGTTTCCTCAGTCAGAAGCAAAATGAGGGTGAGCATTGGTAAAGATTTTTAGTGTTAATGCTAACTTAAGGAAGCAAAGGGGCTAACAAGACAGTCAGGGGTTGCCGCTTGTCTTTAGAACTGGTAAGGGAGATGTTTTATCTGGCTACCAATAGCATGAGTGGACCTGGCAACTGGCTGGCAACTAAATAGTAGGAGACTATGAGGTTGCACCTTACTGGCTAGGAGGAGTTAAACTTTTAGCTATCAAAATTAAGTTTTCTAACTTTTTGTCCTCCGTGGAAGCATAAAAGTGGGAATTATTGGTCTCTTTGTTAAAATATGTCATTTTCCACCGCAGAGTTCCAAGCTGTGGTGCAATATACACAATACACAATGTGGTGGTGTGTGTGTATATGTATATATATATATATATATATATATATATATATATATATATATGAAAATAATTTAAAAATCAGTCATCAATCAAGTCAAGATTGAAATCCAGGAACCTCTGAAACTTCAACCTGTTACAGAAGCGACTCGACATACAGAACAGGAGCTTTAGGGTTGCTGATACCTTGTCTTGTTCAGCCCATGTGATGGATAACAGGAAATACCATCTTCTTTCTCTCTGGAGAGAACATCTGAAAAATGGTCCAGGAAGAGACTAACACAATTATGAGTAATAAAATCGAAAAGTGCAGAGACCAACGTTAAAGTAGAGGAAAAAGTGGGAGCAAGCTTAATGTTACTGACAGATTTACCCTCAGTCTGTTTGCTGCCCATCCCACACTTCTGAAAGTATTGATATTTTAAGATAGATGCTACATATCGGACTAAAATAGTGCACTTCATAACTTACTTCTTCACATCCTTGTTAAAACATTTTTACCTAAGATCTCAGACGTCAGACTTCATTTAAGGTTGTTTTAGAAAAGGTTTACGGATACTTTTCATAGGACTATCGAAGAGGATTAAAACAGAATTCTTTAAATATATAAACCGTTGCTGTTACCAGTATTGTCAGTATATTGCCCTCTAAGTCCTCCTTTGCAAAACTTATAAACAGAAAATACACCCTAAATTCAGCAAGATAACTGGTAATAAATATCTTTATCATATGACAAAACATTTTTTTTTTACTTTCCAGAAAGTAAATAATAAACCAATAAATGTATAAAAGTACTCTTTATACTCTCAAAAGCAGTAACAAGCAGAGTTGTAAAACCCTCAGATATAGAAGGTGCACTGCAAGTTCCAGAAAGTTATAGTCATAGCACCGAGGCATGTGCAGAACATCATCATACTCATCATCTTGTACATATCCAGGACTGGGGCGCAGAGGCAGCAGTCTCAGCAAAGACTCCCAGACTTCCCTCTCCTTGGACACATCCTCCAACTCCGCTGGGAAAAGCCCAAGGTGCTCCCAGGCCAGCAGCGACAGAGGCCCAATCCCAAACCGGCCCCTACAAACCCTGAGCACTAACCCTATGTTTGCATGTTTGTGCGGTGGGTCCGCCAGATTACGTGTCATTCTAAAGCCCTTAGTGAGTAGGGCTAGTGGATCACTCAGCCCTTAAATAGCAAGTCTGTATAAGTGCAGGCTCGCTGGAATTTGGCAGCAGGTGTAACAGCGGCCTGGTTGTGGAGGAAAAGCATTAATTTAAATCTAAGTTCCACCAGCTTGCTGCATCTTCATCACACTGACAAAAAATACAAGTTAGTTACAAAAAAAGGTCCTCTTTGAAATAGTTTTATTTGACCATATACATTTGTTATAAGAAAGGGGCAAATGTTATATTTTTATGCCATCTGTGCCAAAGAGCTACAGCCACGCACAAGGGGCATCACTGTGTTGCCTTAGCAACGACAGCTTTCTTTTCCTGTTGGAGGGAAGAAGACGTCCTATTCTCATTTATACCCCCCCGCCTTTAAAAAAGTTGCCTTTCAAGGCTATGAGTGTGACACTATTGCGAGTTAGACTTGATGGTTAAGTGTTAGGGTTTAGGGAGCAGGTCGGAATTCCACCATAGTCCTTTCAGTATGTCCTTGGATATCCTGTAAGCCATCCCTTGGTCCTTCTCCTGGTGGAACATGTTTAAACACCTCCTGAAGGAGGCGTCCAGGGGGCAACAGATATCTGAGCCACCTCAGCTGTCTTCTCTCGATGTGGAGGAGAAGCGGCTCTACTCCGAACCTCTCCCTGATGACCAGGCTCCTCTCCCTATCTCTAAGGGCGAGCCCAGGCACCCTGTGGTGAAAGTTCATTTCAGCCGAATGCATCCAAGATCTTGTTCTTTCGGTACTGATCCAGATTTCATAGACCAATGGGTAAATCAAAATGTTTGCCTTCTGGTTTCGCTACCCCATAATAACATCTTCATCAAAACAACCTCATTAATCCCTCTATCAGTCTCTCACTCCATTCTCCCCTCAGTAGTGAACAGAACCTAAAGATACTTGAACTCCTCCACATGATGAGTACAGCCTTCCAGAAAGTAACCAACATAAATCCCTGTAGGTTCCAGAAAACTCCCAGCAACAATGAAGGTCTTCAAAATGTTCTAGTAAATTCTTTATAATCTGATCATTAACATTACTTTGCAAGTTCTGAAATAACAATGAAGTAACCCGTACAAGTCTTCAAAAGTAAGTTCCTTTAAGTTCTAGGATAGAAACCATCTACAGTAAAGGTTGCATTAGTCTAGTTCCAATACATTTCCTCCAAGTTCTAGAAAGAAGCAATTGAAAGGGTCCCTTTACAAAACCATCAACTCTTAGAGTTTTCTGTTTATTCAAAAAATGACCTTTCAGAACATTAGTCATGCAAGTCATAGAAAGGACCATGTAGTTGTAGAAAGTAACCTCCATCTCCCCAGAACCTACAGGCTGTGTTGTACAGTCCTATTCAATTAATCAAAACATTAGTGAAAGGTTCACTTATTTCAGTAACTCAATTCACTAAGTGAAACACATTATATAGATTAATTACAAGCAGGCTGATGCTTTTAAGGTTTTAGTTCTGGTACTTACTGTATGATTATTTTCTGCTTGAAGTTAATGAAAATTTAAGATTAAAATATTACATGAAACCAACAAAATTGTTGAGCATAAATGTGGAAAAGTATGTTTAAATATCAGCTTTAATCTTTCAAAAGAATATATTTGATTGAACGATTGAATTTTCCCAAAATAGACATTTTTTATATCGGTACCAATATAACATTCTGATTGATGTACTTTTGTCAATGAGTTTAAAAACAGACAAGGGAGTCCTTAAAGTCTTTCCAAACAAAGCAGCCTGGAGGAATATTTTTCCAGTTCTTTGGATGCTATAACTTGGATTAAATGGCACCTGGAAAGGAACGGTTGCCCACCTCTGATCGAGGTGTATACAAGTGTGGTGACTGGTTAATTTCCAACATGATTGTAGACTGTGTGCTCTGCTAACACTTAACTGAAATTATATACTAAGAAGGTAGATCCCGGTCCTGAAGATCCTCTGTGACATTCTGGCTCTAAAAAGGTTCATTGCTGATTGAATATCAATGTGTGCACCTCTACCCAGGAGGGAGTGAGTGTTCCTGGGATAAAGAGCGTCTGACCAGCCCCCCTGCTGGAGCCCACAGCGGAGGAGGAGGAGGTGGTGGTGGAGCCCCGGCTGTGGGAGGAGGAGCTGGAGGAGGAGGAGGTGGTGCAGCGGGAGGTCCTGGGAGGGGGTCCACCTTAGGAGCCGTCAGTCAGCAGCAGCTCCAGCAGCAGCAACAGCAGCAGCTACTGGCCAACAGTGGGTATTCACATCGACAACACTACATGGAAAACACACACACACACAATTTCACACTGTGAGTTTAAAGGATGGCAATATTTGTTAATGTACGGCATTTAATCTGTCCCCATCTCCTGTATTACCACTCTGCCTGGATTAATCAGCACACACTCTACTAAATGACTAAATTCATCAACACCACACATACGCACACACAGGTCACACACATATGTAGGCAGGCAAACAGACTGACACTCGGCCCTTTCTTTCTGCAGAAGTAATGTATTTGTACTCTCACACCGGGCAGCAGGAAGCGACAAACACTCACATTGATTATTCTATCACTTCAGTCATCACGACCACAGCAATCAGTGTTATTGTTTCATTGCAATGAAAGCAGCCCTGTAAGTGTGTGTCTCGTCTCTAATGTGTCCGTGGAGTGGGAGCTCTGCAGTTTTTAGGGCAGCGGGGTCATGGAGGTCAAAGGTAACTTATTTGGACACACTTAAAGCAAACATTTTTAATACCAAAAGGGAATTCTCAACCGTTGATTTCATTCACTGAAGGACGAATAGCTGAACTCTTGATACATTTTGAAACCAACTTCCATCATTTATTGATGACTGGTGATCAATGTAGGGGAGTCTTTTTGGATCACGGTCCTGAAGAGAAACCCAGTCCTGTTTAACTTTGAAGGGACTTTATGGTCCTAGAGATTATTTCTTTAAATTGTCAGTTTTTCTAAAAATTGTTTTATTTTTATTTTTTAATTAATCTTTGTTTTGTAACATTTTTTTTATTTGTTATTTTTGTTTATTTTGTTATTGTAATTTTTGATTTCTTGCCAGTTCTTGAGTTGATCTCAATGGTGACCTTATTAGTTAAATGAATGTTTGATTAAAAATCAGAAGAAATTGGTGATCAGGCCTTCTCCTTCAGGCGTTTGTACAAAAGAGCAGACTTGTTAGTTCCATTCTATGAAACTACACTGTCATGATTTTATTAGTATATTTTGTTTTAAAATGCTGGTTTTGTTTTGTTGTTGTTGTTGGTTTTTTTTAACAGTAGATCCACCTCATTAGCCCACAGCACATGTTTTCAATGATCTTCAGATACTTTAAGCAAATATAAGACTGGCTTTTTGCTTTCATTTTGATGACCAGTGGTTTCTTCTTAAAGCTCGTTGATGCATGTCAATTTTTTTCCTCTTTATTTCATTTATTTTATTATAAACATTGACATGTGCAGATGAGCATAGGGCCCATAGGGTTTGTGTTTGTTGATCCTTTTTTACTCTCTGGATAAAACGATAACTAGTACTAGGAAGGATTTGGGTCAGTTGGCCATTCCTAGATAGCTTACCTTTTTATCTCTACTTTGTCCATTTTTAGATAATGGTTCTTTTTCTTATTCATTGTAATGAAAAAACTCAGAAATGTAATAGTTTCCAGACAGATAAATACCAAGGACTTTTCTTATCTTTAGATGTTATGTTTTTGAGATTTATCCTCCTTCTTTATGTCGTCAAACTGGTCCTTTTAAAGTATTTTTTTTTTTTTTTTATTATTTCTTTTTTTTATTCTAAGGGTCAGGCAGAAATCTGCTTGGATTTTGACAAGCAAATATGAATCATTACTGTTAATAAGTAAATTGGTGACAATTGGGGAGGAAATCTTTCTAAAAGGGACCATGTCTTTTTAAGAAGTAAAATTTGCTTTTAAAAATGTTGTATTCTCTCAGATTATCTGTGTCTGATGTTAACAATTATTTAATGAGCTACACCTTTGCTTACAATCCCCCTCCAAACCTCCTTCAAATTGTCTTAAAACATTATTGACAATCTTCTCATTTCCTATTTTTGCAACTTTTCCTTCCATTCTATTTTCCTTAAATTTCTTGTATACTAAACTTTCTTTAGAAAATATTTGTGGCCTACCCTCTCCTAGAAGGTCATAAGTGACTATGTACTATGCTGTACAGCTGTCCAGCCATCAGTCTTTCTGGTATTTTATAGGGCATAATTGAATAATAGAAATAAACAATGGGGATTTACAGTCTGTTTCATTTTTTATATCAAGGTATTGGGAAAAAAAATTGTTTTGAAGGATTTTCCCAAATTTTTGATAAGACTCGCCCTCTCCACTTTGAAAAAAAATGCACATGCACAACCCTGTACCTGCTCCCGAGAGGGAACGCCAATTAAATGCATGTAAAAGCGTGCACAGGGCTATTTCTCCTTGTGCACGCTCTGTTTAAAAGTTGCTGTTCACATCCCTCATACAAGCTTACTTTCAAAAAAAAAGATTTGCATTTTTTCAATTATGTCAGGCTCACCACCGGTAAGTTAAAATAGGGTCCAGCACGTAGGACTACTGTTACATAAACATATCACCAGAATGATTGACAATTGGAGGACCACTTATTTTGATGATCCACCCAGGGAAAAGATCAGTGAACTGTAAAATGCCTTGAGATGACATGTGTTGTGAATTGGCGCTATATAAATAAACTGAATTGAATTGAACATCCTCCACTATACCTTTAATGAGATGCTTTATTAAAAAAATATTTATTGATTTATTATCAAGATCACATATCTGTGAATGAGAATGCAGGTAAATAAACATAAAACAGAGTTGTATGAATCCCATTAGACTCTAAAGAACACTTGCAAACACAGGCGGTTTTCCATCAAGTGAGTTTAAAGGTTAACTGTTTAAGAGAAGTTCTGTTTTGTCTTTTATTTTGCATGTAGTTACAATCGCAATGGTTTTACAGGTTATTTCTTGTAACTCACAAGAAGTTCCCCTTTCTCCTAAATTTCTCCCCCTCTCTCCGTGACTCAGGGTTGGACCTGCCTTTCATGATGATGCCCCACCCTCTGCTGCCCATGGGTTTGCCTCCTGCCTCTGTGGCCATGGCCATGTCTCAGATGAACCATCTCAACACCATCGCAAATATGGCCGCAGCCGCCCAGCAGATACACACCCATGTTCACCGGGCACCTGTCATCAAGGTAAAAGCAAGAGAACCGGTTGCGGAAGATACCATTAATATCCATCAACATATGGCTTGTTAAGCACATATCTGAGGCTTTTATTATGTCAAATTAAACGTAAGTTAAGTAACAGTTGATAGAGCACTAAAAGATACTAATTTAATTCATTTCTACAAAACTTTAGGAGTGTTAAGATAAAACCAAGTTAAACTGATAAGGAAGGGATCTTATTTATTTGATTGATCAATGAGTGGATTTATTTACATATTTATATTTTGTGAATATTACACCAATTAGTCAGAACATTATGTCCAGGAGCTACGGCAGCATCCAACTTTAAAGCATGCTGTCCTTGTTATTGATGCTACCCTGAAGTCTAAATTAAGTCATTAAAAATAGATATGATTTCTTGACATAATTTGGCCAAATCAACCTAATTATTGAGTATTTCTTTTTTTTTTTAATAAAGCTGCACCTCGTCTGTGTGTGACGCTCCCCTCCCTCTGTTCTTAGGAAAGAGTGTGTGACAGCCCCTCTCTATCTCCATCTGTGGATGAAACCAACACTCCTCTGCAGTCGCAGCCCAGCAGCTCAGCCTCCAGCTCGCCTGAAAGACTCGGTACCCACAGAAACCCACACTGAACATGACATCATCCACAGCATGCCTTTATTTTTGTTTTAAGCTTTTTTACTGAACTGTTGGGTCAGACAGAAAAATTATAATCTGTCACTCAGATGGCTTAGGGGTTAAATCCAGCTTTCTTAAGATTTTTAGACAATTCTTAGATTTAAATGTGAGTGATGCACCAATCACATTACAGAAAAGCTCCTCCTGTTTCTGCTTGTCGACATTAAACATTCAAGAGTGCTTTATCATCATCCTATCACATTTACATAAATTGGGTTACTTGGGTCCCAGTTTGGAACAAGATAAAGAAGATGAATTAAATCTGATTAAAGAAAAGAGGATGAAAATAGAATATTTAAAGATAAGATAAGATAACTTAATTGCTGCACAATGACATGAATAATAGTGGCATCAAAAAGAATCCAGAGTAATTATATTTCAAGGGCAGCAGGTTGAATACTGTTTTTTTACTATAGTTTGGCTGAAAGTCTATGAGGGATGATGTTGTGAGGTCCAGCAGCACGTTCGAGCTTCAGGAGTGGTGCATCCGAGTGTTTTGGGGTGCGAGCATCAGACTCTTTGATGCTGGAGTTCAGAGAATTGAACTTTTCCTGCTGGACGTTGGAGCATCAACAAATCAGAAAAGCTGATCCAGGAGTTTTTGGGGGGGACAGACACTACATGCATGCTGCCCTCGTTTCTGCAGAGCTGTCTGGATATGAAGAATAAATAAACATCTAAGGGTTAAACTCCAAAAGTAAAATAAAAAAAAGTCGGGAGAATGGATTTGTTATGTAGGCTAGAAGGAAGAGAGAGCATGCTCTGATCGCTATTGCCTCACTAAAAAATTTTTTTATGAACTATGGCGAATCAGTTTATAAATACCCAAATTAACTAAAAATGTCTGCGGATGAAAAATATTCAATTGTATATTCTGGTAATGGAAGTTTTTACCACAAACCTTAAAAACTCTTGATATTCCCTTCCAGCCGCTTTAAACAGCAGCAGAAATCCCCCACGGGCTGGCCGCAGCAGAGAGCTCCCAGTGGGGATTTCCAGCTCTGCCTCCCAACAGTATGTTGGAAGTCTGGTTCTCCGAACAAGAACTGCATATTATAGTGGAATTATAATCCTGATGAATTTACTCCACATATGATGTGTGGAGGTGGACTTTCTCGCTTAATATCGTGTTAAAACTTTTTCCAACTTATCAAGTTGCTTTGTTCTGTAGCTTCAAGCTACAGAACAGAGCAGATAAACAACCAGAGCTCCAAGGAACCAGAACATTAAAGCATCAAAAAAAACTTGACCAGAGTTTGATCCAGCATCAAAATTTTGGCATTTAAGCATTTTTGACGCCCAAAACACGCTTGATGTGACGCACCATCGCACCTACAGGCTGCATCTTAGTCTGGTGGTCCTTGTCTTGATGCTTCAGTAGGTTCTCTGTTACTCTTTTGCACGAAGTTTAGTAAGCATCTAGCCTCGTGAGACCATCCTGATGTCGCAAGCTTTCAAGGTTTCACTCGCAAATCAGTCTGGAGACTCTCTGTTAAAGAAAATTTGGAGCCGTTCACCAAACGAACGTCTAATCAGCGTTGGCTTTGAGGCGGGTTGAGGTGTGACGCAACAAGAAGCGCGACAGTTCAGTCTAAATAACATGGCGGCTTCAGCCGATGATACTAGCGTTAGCGTGGCTATCGAGCAAGTTTTATCGGAATTACAGAGTATTTCTTCACTGAAAGAAGAGCAAAACACTGTTCTGGAGGCTTTTTTCAGAGGAAAATATTTTTTTGCTCTTCTCACAACTGGTTCCGGCAAGAGTAGCCTGGCTTGTGGTTGTGTTTTCGTCGTCGCTCTGTTAGTACGTCATATGCTTCGTTGATCTGATTGGTTTATTTGGCCCGTCTATCACCAACATAGGCCAATCAGCTAACCAGTATTTTCGCCCCTTCCCAAAATTACTTCAACGGAAGGTTTCCAGATGGATATGCGGAGCAAATCCATCTGGCGGAGTCAGGTTAGTAAGCATCAGAAACAGGGCGTCAATCAGAACAAGGAAATTGAGCCAGTCGCCTTTTTGATCTGGTTTGTAAAACCCACCCATTTAACACAGGCGTCCATTTTAGCAAACTGACAGTCTTCATTAAAAGAAATTGTTCATTTTCTGTTCAGTTTTGCTCCATATATTTTCAAATTAAACCCACAAAGGCTGAGGTATATGGTTGAAGTGAGGTGGTGATATGTGAGTGCTGGATAGATAGAAACGAGTGAAGGAGGGAACTCGACCTGCAGCCTTTTCCTCACACATATGGTGCATATTTGCAAACACAGTGTTTACGCTCATATTTACACACACACTCACTCTCAGATGATGACTGCCAATGTCTTCTCTCAAACAGGATTGGTGTCAGGTGATGCTGATGTTGCACTGACCAACTCTGCTGCACCCATCAAGAAAATAACAAAGGACAAAGGTTGGACCACACATACACCCCCACACACTTACAGAATAGAGGATATTCCATTATCCGCACTAATCTAAACCATCAAGCATTTTCTTTGGACATTTGACAAATTGTTCTCACTTAGGAGGCCCTTTTCTCATCCACTGTAGCCCAACAAACAAACAGATCAACACAAACAGAGAAACAGAAGCATCAGGCATTGATCAGCTGTCTCTGAGCCATCAATCACAGGAGAGATGGATAGATAGGAGGGGAGATATGGAGGTGGGGAGATGGAGCATAGAAGGCATGGCTAAAAGGGGTCGCAAGGTCATGCACTAAAAGCATGCGGCCCCCTCCCCTTTAAACCCCTCTGACTTTTCCATTCTTCTAACACGTTCTGTTCATCTAATTTTTCACTCGCGCTCCACATTTGATCATTCATGGTCTGGATGTGTCTCTACAGACATCAGGGGAGGGAATATGTCCCTTAAGATCAATACAGGCAAAATAGTATAAAAGAGCCATCTGTGCTCAACCGAGACTTCTTTGTTATATTTTTTTTTCTTTTTTGTCTTGCCAGATTTTTAAATATGTGTTTAAAACTTAAGAAACATTTTTTTTTTCTGAAACTGGATCAATTCCTGTAGAGTGGAATTGAGAAAAGTTTTGTTTTGTTTTAATCTGCAACATTTTCTTCTTTTTCCAACTTAAATTCATAACCTGTGCTTCAAGCCCAGTTCAAAAAATATTTTGAACTTTTTTTTTTTAACTTTTTTTTTCAAACAGTTTATCGAAAATCTACATTTAAAAAATGGCTAAAATGTTGACTTGTCCTAACTTGCAGTAAAGTTATATTTAAGCCTAAATTAAAGGAGAAATATTAGAAAAACTGCAATGGAAAAAATATATAAATTAGAACCCTTTATTTCAATAAAACATCAATTATTTATATTTTTAAACAGCAAATCTCATTAGTATCTGAAAGCTTTTTAACCACCATAGAGAAAATTATCAGCTTTACTTTTCTTTTTCTGTCTTTGTTATATTTAAAAGCCATGATCCCCTGATTTTAAACCCTCAAACTGTTTTTGTTGCTTTTGTATCTTAATAAATTGTACTCCACATCCAGAAATAGATGGTTTAGTCTATGAATGAAGAAAATCTTTCGAAAATGTTGACTTGGAACACTTTATGAAAATGTATCAGATAACATTATTCCAGTATTTATTTCTTTGTAGCTACATCTTTATGGTAAATGGAGTAAGGCTTTTTTTTAAATTTATTAAATTGGTTCGGGATCATAAATTTCAGTTTAACAATATTACAATGCCATTACTCCTGAGGGAGGTGTTCCATGCATGTCCCATCAGGAGTGTTCTCAGGACACGCTGGTGGGACAGTGTCTCTCGGATGGCCTGGGAAGGAATCAGGCTTCCCCCAGAGGAGCTGGAGGAGGTATCAGGGGAGAGGGAAGTCCTGGCGACCCATCCAGGATAAGCCAAAGACAACGAATATAAACAAATGTCTTCTCCAGGCTTTTTACAAGACAAATGTATCCAATCACAGAATCCAACTTAGTCCAACTACAATATGAAGGTCAGGGACCTTTATAGTCAGATTCTGGTCTAGTTAAAATGCAGTGCAGTCAAATTCATTGAATCTAAGACTAATGGGAGCCAAAAGCAGTAAAGAAACTGCAGGGTGGTGTGCCTAGACTCCAGCTTTGCTCCCTGGTTTACAAACTATATTGTCAAGGCTTTCAAATACTATTAAATACCTAGAAATTACCATTGCGGCCATTCAAATGGCCCTTCACAGTCAAGCTGCAGCCAATTGGCCGGCAACTCCCAGCAGAATCCCCTCCAACTTCCAGCCGATCCCCTCTTGCCTATTTTTTTTTTTTTTACTGACTCCACCCTTTCATTGAATTACAGGGTCTGGCCAGTAGAAGGTGCTTCTTTTTAGATCTTAATGTCCACAAATCATGAAAGAAAGGAAGAAAGAGAGTATTTTAGTACAAAAATGTATGTTTGAAAAGGAATTGCAGAGGACCAGCCAAGGGCCCATCAAGGAAAGTGGGGAAGTTTTGAGTGGCTACTACTTTACCAATCAATTAAGTAGAGAAACAGAGAAAAGCCCATCACCTTTTTTCATCTACAGTAACTGTTAAGAGATCATGAAAAACAACAAAAGGTAAAATTTAATGCAAATGAAAGTTAGCTTGTAGTCTGTTTTAGAACAAGCTTCCTAAGTTTTTAATTTAGCATTGTATAGCTGTCAAAGTTTTAATACTCTACTTAGCGACTCTTCAAAGTAAAAGCTGACAAAAGCGGCTAAAAAAAATACGTCCTTTGTTTTTCTTCATTGAAGTTGTTCTTTTTTTCCCATGTGGTATTTATTTAGGCGCCTTTTTGAAGCCAATCAATGGGAGGAAAAGTTGAAAGAAGACATAAAAGAGAAGGGAGAGGTCTTCAGGGGAAATAAAACTAATTTGATCTTTCAGATATCCAAATAATTTTAAGTAAAAGGTTAAAATGGCAAAAAAAAAATAAAGCTTGATGTCAATGAAGGAATTTTAGGGCAACTGTTGGGAAAGTTAGAAACTATTTGGAAAAAAAGCATTAAAGCTAACTTGAGAGCATGGGGAAACATGGGAGAAGACAGATGAAGATGCAGAGAAGACTTGCAGGGGAAAAAAGTGATTTAGAAAATGAGTGAGTGTGTAATGGTGGAGTCGAGGGATGTATGGATGAAGTGGCAGATAGGGAGTGTGTGTGTTAGAGTGCATCTTAATCAGCGTTAATTTCACAGCAGAGTTAACCCAGTTGTCGGAGTGTTAGGCATTAAGGGCTGAGCAGACACTGTGACGCACTCACGATGAACACACGCATACACATGAAGGATGTCTTTAATCCTTGCCAATTAGCACCCCACATGATTGTCAGAATACTAACAACCTCTGAGTGTGTGTGTAATTGATTTCTGTGTTGCCGCTTCGCTGTCTTGTAACGTTAGAAAACACAAACATTTCATAAAGTTTACTGATGACTACTACACTTCATGAAAAATAATCCAGTTTCTGAAAGTCTCTCAGCTTATTTTAAAAAAAAAGTAGAAATGCTTCTCTATTACAGAGTTTTGAGGCCTTCGTACAGTAAAGGCAAAAATAAAAAAGTCGAAACTGTAAATTTTTTTACTCTCTGATGTTTAAAAGTTGTGTATTTGCAAACAAAAAGGGATCAATTTCTATATGGGTGCATTATTCTGACATTTAAAAGCTGGAATTTGCTGGAAATAACATTTTTTACTTGTTGGACGTTATAAGATCAGGCATTTGTGACAAAAAATGCCAGAAATCCTGTTAGTTTGAGTTTCTAAATTCAGAAGATATTTTTAACATGAATCAAATTGGAAGAACTTCACTGCTCCTATAGCTGGAATTTTGTCAAATCATTCTCATTTCAAACATAATGTCCACATTAATACAGAATCTTTTGTGTTTTACTTCATTCAAGTGAGAATAACTACCAAACTTTTGGGTTAACATATATTCCTTTCAATTCTACAAACAGAAGAGTCTCCGCTGGGTCAGACCCTGCCTCCTGGTTTTCCTGCTCCGTTCCTGTTTGCTGACGGCCTGTCGTCAGTGGAGACTCTGCTCACCAACATACAGGTAAAATCATTTTAATGCCATTACATAGTCAAGGTCGGAAATGTCTTCTGGCCATCTTTTTTCAATCACCAAGAAAGGTAGCCTCGTGAGACCATCCTGATCTCGCAAGCTTTCAAGATTTCACTCCCTAATCAGTCTGGAGACTCTCCGTTGAAGAAAATTTGGAGCCGTTCACCAAACGAAAGTCCAATCAGCGTTGGCTTTGAGGCGGGTTGAGGTGTGACGCAACGAGAAGTGCCACAGTTCACTCTGAAGAACATGGCGGCTTCAGCCGATGATACTAGCGTTAGCGTGGCTATCGAGCAAGTTTTATCGGAATTACAGAGTATTTCTTCACTGAAAGAAGAGCAAATCACTGCTCTGGAGGCTTTTCTCAGAGGAAAAGATGTTTTTGCTCTTCTCACAACTGGTTTCGGCAAGAGTAGCCTTGCTTGTGGTTGTGTTTCCGTCGTCGGTCTGTTAGTACGTCATATGCTTCGTTGATCTGAATGGTTTATTTGGCCCGTCTATCACCAACATAGGCCAATCAGCTAACCAGTACTTTCGCCCCTTCCCAAAATTACTGCAACGGAAGGTTTCCAGGTGGATATGCGGAGCAAATCCATCTGGCGGAGTCAGGTTACAAGAAAGGTGCACATACCAAAGAGCAAGCAAAGTTATGGCGTAATAGGGATTGTTCCTGGTCTTGAACTGGTTTCTGCCTTAAGAGGAAGGATTCCAGTTCCTGGGGGTGTTCAAAGATGATGGCTGGATAGACTGGAGATTTGTTTCTATTGGAATATCAGGCATCTAATTAGGATGCCTCTTTGGTACTGATCTTTGAAGGATTCAGATTCCCACAGAACAAACTGAAAGCCGCCACTGTGTAGAGAGTTTATTGCTTTTACCTGGTATGTTTCCGCATCGTCAGCTTCATGGATGAAAGCTCACATTTTTGGATGTGGCTCTCTCCCATGGTGATTCATAATCACCCAGAAGGAGTTTAATTCAATTTAATTCAGTTTATTAATATAGCGCCATTTTACAACACATGTCATCTCAAGGCACTTTAAAGTTCACCAGATCATCCAGTCAAAATGATTCAAAGTTTTCTATCTAAGGAGAACCAGTTGATTGCATTGACTCATTGACTCGTGTCTTTGATGTTAAATTGTGGAAATGTTTTACTAAAATAAGAATGATTTTCCAACCAGAATATGCTTGTCATTTACTAACCAAACATCTTTGTTCAGGGCCTGCTGAAGGTGGCCGTGGAGAACGCCCGAGCGCAGGACAAACAGATCCAGGCTGAGAAGAGGGAGCTGAAGATGGAGCTCTACAGAGAACGAGAGATGCGTGAGAGTCTGGAACGACAGCTCAACTCCGAGCTACAAAGCAGAGGTTGTTTATGATCTGTCATAAAAAAAAGGATTACAGTCATAAGAAATTACTGCAGATGTTTCTTCTTTACCAGAAATGTCAAATTAAATCTATGTCTTTCTCCAGCTTCGATCCAAAAACGACTGAAGAAGGAGAAGAAAGCAAAGAGAAAGCTACAGGAAGCGCTGGAGTTTGAATCCAAGAGGAGGGAGAGAGTCGAGGATGCTCTCAAACACTCGTCCTCTTCCTCTCCATCTCCTGAGCCTCTTCATGCCACCAACAACAACTCCAAGAACGGTAGGACCTCCCCCTTTACGTTATTTTACTGATCCTTTATATTATTTGAATTCTTTATGTCTCTGATACTTCTAGTCTGTTTTTTTACTATATACACATGGTATTGTTTTATTCTTTTGTCATCATTGGCTATTGTTTGTGCCTGCTAGTTATCTCTTTTTTTTTTATCTGCCTAGACCGACATTGGTTGCTGCTGCTGACTGAAGCAGCTCTTAAAGCAGAGCTACAAGATGCTGCTGTTTGTATTTCTTACTTCCATAAAAAACAGAGTAATCACATTTAGTAGTAAAGCGGCTGTTCATCTATCTCTGCTGTGCTTCAGAAAGGACAGTTTACAGTACTAATGCTAGAGTCTTCCTTCCTCCACATGTTATGACTTTGGCTGCAATGGAGGGACAGTGACTGTTGGTTCTCATGTGCTTTCTGAAGGGATTTACCCATCAGATATAGGAAATTGATTTATCTCAATGGTTGATCGTGGCTCGGCTGGTGTTTTTGTTCTGCTGGTGCTTTCTAGCATTAGGATCTTAGCTTTGGTATCTTCTTCACATGCTGTGGGGGGGTCATCGGTTTCTGATATGAGGGGTTTGGCTGGAAGGTGTTCGTTGGCGATGGGAGATATGGCTTTATGCTTTTGCCCGTTGTTTGTGGGGGGTTGGCTTACCAGCATGGTCAGATGCCTCTCAGTTTGTGTTGGCTTCTATCTAGGTGCCTGACCTTCAATGTTTTGGTCCAGCATGTGGAACTTCACTCAAGTGGGTGGGACACAGGGGTCTTTCTGGCACCTGTGTTCGGATTGCTGGGATGCTGTGATTGGCCTTGGGCGTTGGGTTGTGGGTGCATTGCAGCCATGGGTACAAAATATTTTTGTGGATGTGGTGGTTTGGGACGTCTAGCCACGTTGGATATTGGGTCCACAGCGGGGTGGCAAAACCCCCTAGAACCCAACACCCATTCTTACAGGAATGTGAGGGGTGTGTGAGGTTATAAGGGCGGGATTGTTTGAATGCGACTTGATGTCTGTGAAAACCTTTTTGCCTTCTTGTCTGCCTGAATGTTTGGCTGCCCCTATCCACTGGGCCATCCTGAACCCCAAACATTAGTATAAGGGGGGTCCTTCCCCTCCTGATGCTCCTTGCAGGTAACCAGTATCTCTGTCTGCTGGTGCGTCAATGGTTCATTCTGTGTTGGGCCGGGTGCCTCTTTGCACCAGCATGGGTCCCTGGGCATTTAGTGGTCTCCACCTTGGAGTGATGCCCCCCTGGGTTGCAGATTTCAAGGCAGACACACAACTGGATCCATGAAGAAGGCTGTTCTTGCTGTTATCTGATCCAGAATTTACTATTGTAATGCTCTTTGTACATGTTTACCAATTCTTCACTGAGCCACCTCCAACTTGCTGGACCTTTTAACCATGTAATGCTGCGAGATGGGTTCATATTTCCCCATTTGATCCCATTTACACTGGTTTCCTATCCATTTTAGAATAAATTTTAATGTTTTATTATTGGTCTTAAGAACGCTGAATAGCCTTGCTTTCCCTTATTTATCAGAGCTGTTGAATTCCTCTGCAGTACCTGTTCTATGTCTCTGAAGTAAGATAATTAGCTCCTTCCAACTTTTCCGAAGTATAATTCTGGTGCCTTTTCTACGGTTGTACCTCAACTCTGAAATCAGCTTCCATTAGAAAAACAATTAATTTAAAGCTTAAGTCTTTTTAGTTCAACAGACTTCTACCGCTTCAATATTTGGTGACACTTCTATTTAAATATTATGTTTATGAACTTAAGTTGTGTCCTTCTATCTTGTGTTTGGTATTCTGCTGTGTAAACTGATTTTTGGAAGCACCTCGGTCAACGCACTGTGACTGTCTAATGAATGATGGATTGGATGAATTATGGTTTGGTAAGGAGTATCCATCGTATCCATGGCACTGAATAGTTGGAAACAGGTCTCAAATATGTCTTCAAAAAAGACTCTGCCCGTTCCTCCAATCAAAATAAATCCCAGCGTTTTAAATAAAACCCAACAATGTCATTTTTAAAAATGCCTTTAGTCTCCTTGATCTTATCATTTTTAGGAAGCTAACTTCCTAAAATTATATTTACATAAATGCTCATATACATTTCTAAGGAGATGATGTTTATAGATAATGCAATTTTCAAATTAAAAGCAAGTGACTTTTCTTTTTTCCCATTTTTTTGCTTGTTAATTTAGACATCGAATAATATCAAGAAAATAACTGATACTCTTGAATTATTCCAGTTATTTCTTCCTATAAAAAATGATCATTAAAAAGCATAATTTACATCTTTAATGATTGTGTTTAATTTGTTCTTATTAATCGTAGTGTAAGACCATGTAAATATTCCAATACAAACCTGCTAACTGGCTCTTTTTTTGGTGTTTGTTTGAAATGATTAGTTCCTTTGTGGCTCCGGTTTCCCTGCAGACCCAGCTCACCGTAACAAGGTGCTTTTTGTTTTTTATTGGCCGACCCACTGAGACTCTGTCTTGTCTCTGTGTTTCATACCAGACGCTGCTGTAGCCGAGGACAAACCTGAACTTAATGGAAACCAGCAAGACAACGGTGCTGTACAAGGTACAAATAACACAACACACACACACACACACACACACACTTCCTGTATTAACACCATACTGTACACAAGCACGTTCAAAGGCAGTGTTTTAAAGACACACAAACACATGGTGGGCACATGTCTGTGTCGGGGCCCCATTTAGATTAGTGGAGACATTAGGCAGACATCATGGCTTCTCTTTGATGTGTACCTAAGGAGACACACATGTGACGTGTCTTAAAATATTTTTTTTAGCGTACGAGTGTATTTATAGGAGTGATTATGCAGTTTTCAAACCTTTAGGGCCAGAAACAAGAAGGCATGGTCCAGTTAGTGCTTTCAAGTTATCTAGAGGTTGTAAAAAAAAACAAAAAACAAAAAAAGGGAGTGTTTAAATAAAGTTTTTAACAGCAACTCATGTAAAGATGTTTAAAAAGATGAAAATATAAAGTAATTTTCTACAACAGTAGCTTTATCTCTTATGAGAAAATTGAAAACTTTAGTTGAATGAGGTATAAAATATTTTTTTTCAACTGGATCACTGAAGCTGATTGGCAGTTGATCGTTTTATGATTCATCTGACCACCTTTTGTCTAGAGGAGAGCACTTAGTCCCCATTTATTACATCAAACAGGCCTGAAGCAAATAGAAAGAAACATAGCTTTGATCACTTCTTTTGGCAAAATCTTTCAAGATCATCCTGAGTTTTTGTTTATGATCTTCTCCCTTCAGCTCGTCTTACAGGTTATTTTCATTATTTAGATCAGAGAACTTAGATGGACATGGACCAAAATTGATTTTGTGTCTGATCATTTCCCCAACTCTTTTAGGTCATTATCTTTTTGAAAGGTCATTTATTTATAGTTTACTATCAGGAGATGGCAGATTTTCAGTAGAGTGCCCTCGCATTACAGAATTTCTTGATGTTACATGCAAGGTTGTCAAACCCACAACATCACAGATCCTCCACCATGCTTAGGATGAAGCACTTTCTTATGTATTTATTTATTTTACCCTAGATCCACTTGGTTCTTTTTAAGGATACCCTTGCAGACTTAGTAACATCTAAAAAAAAAGTGTCCAACTGGTTTCAGATACACTCATAGACTTATTTCTGTGCCTTAATGTACAGCCTAATGGGCCATCTTAGCACAAAAAGAAAAATCACTGATTTTAAACCAGAGTTAATTGAAAATTAGCTTGAATAAAAAAAAAAATGATGCTTTAGTTTATTTTGAAGTTTTTTACCAGTCTTTATCAGAAGGAAGAATAATTTCGTAGGTTTCTTCAGCTTAGCGTTAGAAAAACATATTATGCCATCAAGAGTCCTCACAGGTACAGTACTGATGCGTGTGTTAGTATGCATGTGTCGTTGTCTTTCCACCAGCTGTGCTCAGTCCTCCCTGACATTGAAAACCTTCACCTGAAACTCTGCGAGCGTATAACATCTATACACACGCTCACACGCTGTAGGTGTGTGTTTGATCCACATACTTGTGAGACAGGGAGCTCTAATTAGCTCTCACTCCTCTTTAGACCCCTTTTAGATCCCCCTCTCTTCTGCAAGCCAAGCACACCGACACACACACACACACCTGATTTCATTAATGTTGATTGGCCCGGTAGGACCCCTCTTACTCTCTCTCTCCGTAACACACACACAGCGAAACACACACTCATCCCTCCTGCCGTAAAAGCATTTTGCACCTACGGTGGTTTAGCTTCGCACACATACACACCTCCCCTGCCTCTCACCTTCTACACTCTTAATTAACGAGTGAAGAGAAAACTGCTGAATACAAAGAAAGACATCGCATTACAATCAAAAAGAGAGGAGGAGAAAGAAACACATACAGGAACCTGCGCACACAGAACCAATAGCAGGTGAATCCTACAGACAAAACAACATGTTTAAAAGCAACACAGAGAGAAGGTGAGGAGGGGGAGGAAAAAACTGACAGAAAAATTTATAAATATTTGATTTATTTTTTCTAGCTGTGATTTTATTATATTACATCTTCATCATTTTATATTTCTGATAACAGATTATAGGTAGACTGGCCTCGAATCAACTATCTGATTAGATGTGAATAAAGTTATTTACATTCCGTAAAAGTTTAAAAAACAATCCACTGGATTTGGTTTTCAAGATTTGAAGACGTTTCACTTCCCCTCCAGGAAGCTTTCTCAATTCAAATGTCTGGATCCGCAGTGAGTTTGAGTCTTTATATAGACAAGGCCTTGTATTTATTATATAATGACTCAAACTCACTGCGGATCCAGACATTTGAATTGAGAAAGCTTCCTGGAGAGGTGGCAAAACGTCTTAAAATCTTGGAAACCAAGTCCAGTGGATTGTTTTTAAACTTTTACGGAATGACTATGACCTGGATGACTGAGAATCTTCATCAACAAAGTTATTTACACAAACACGCTGGAAAATGATCATATAAAAGACATCATTTTGCAAAATAAAAACACCTAATTTTATATGTTCTGGGTTTATAGGTAAAGGTAACGCCTATGTAATATGGGAACACCCTCTGATCCATGCTCTAATGTGTCATATTCTAGTCCTTACTGCTACGTTGAGATTTATTCCTAGTCCAACACACCTGAATCAATTGTCTAATTTGTGTCCTCATCATTTGGTCCCATTTCTCAAAGTCCTGTTCATGACCTAACTGAGGAAACATCTCACTGAGGACGGGAGTTTGACACTTTGCTCCAGATTGTCTTAGAGTTTGGAGTTTAATCTACGGATTATGAGATTATATATCAAAGCTTGGAAGCTTGTCCTGTTAAATTAACTGAAAAACAACTGTTTTATTTACAGAAATCATAAAGAGTTAGTAGCCATCTATCCAATGTGAAGGAGAAGAATTGGATTTCTTAGTATATGATTAGCAAATAAAATGCAGGATTATTTATTTATTTATTTTAATAACTGGCTGTTTGGGACATTGCTGCACATTTCCAACTGAAAAATCCACTTCAGCATTTATTTGAAAAACAAAAACAAAAAAAGCAATCCTTACTCACATAAATCAATTGATAATGTCCCAGAGGACAGCTGTTGTAACTAGAAGACTCTCTGGCAGCTTTCCTCTTCATACCTAAGGTTTTCCATAAAGATAGAGATACTTGCACAGTTAAAGCAGCCTTAAGAGGTAATATTTAAACTTCAGTCTCTTGTAGGAATTTGTTGAAATTCATCTTCCTCAAAATTAGCATCTCTTCAGGTTAAAAAGATACAGAAATAATTTTGTCTGTTAGTTTTAGGCTAGTGTTGAACTACTGTAACACATGTTGGATGTCATGTTGGTGTTTGCTGGGGTTTTATGGACCTAGCTTTCGCTGGTTTCCAAAAATAAAAAGCATCATTAGCCGAATCCCTAAGTGTCCTGCTGTAAAGTCGTGATGAAGCCGGGCTGATGTTCTGGTATTTTTAACTAGAGGAAAGTTATAGATTGAATTTTAAGGTCAATACTGAGGGGATCGACACACGCACCTCTTTACGTTTTCAGAACAGTAAAAAAAAAAAAAAAAAGAAGAAGCCTGAAGGGGAGGAAAATGTAAAAGAGGGCAGGAGAGGACGGAGAGAAGAATGGGGTGGGTTAAAAATAAGAGGAGGAGGACAGGAGGGAGCAAAGAGGAGGTGAAGAAGAGGATAGGATGCATGTAGAAGTGAGGGATGAAAGAGGAGAGGAGGGGGTTTGAGAGGATTGTGGAGTGATAAAAATAGGGAAGGGCAGGAGATGTGAGGATGAAAAGGAGGGTAGGCAGGGAATATGAAGGAGGAAGTGAGCGTAAGATGAAAGAGAAAAATTTAAGAAAGTTTTATATTCCAATGTGTACAGTCTCATTCATGTCTTTAGGATGAAAAAAAGCAAAGTAAGGAGGTAAAAAGATGACAAAGAGCATGGGAAGATGAGTGTTAAAGTAGCAGAGGGCAGGAAAAAAAGATGGAAAGAGGAGGGAGGGCAGGTTTATGGTTGCTGTTATGCAGAAATGTAAACAGTTTGCAACGTTCGCAGAAAACAATGACACCGCGGGGAGAGGAAGGTGTGCGAGCGTCTCTGCTGTATGTACAAGTGTGTTTAATGTGTGGGTGGGTGCAGCAACAGCACTACAGGGAGCGGAAGGAGCGCGACGGAGGTGAAATGAGAGAAAGAGAGGAGGGAGGGGAGGAGTCCACCATGGCAAAACTAGAGATATGAGATTCTTATCATAAACGGATACTGCATAAAGGGGAACAAAAACACTACTTCCTTTTTAAATAATTATGATGAGTGTTCCTATGCAGATGGAAGCTCATTTAGTTTACAATGAACAATTCATTCATGGTTAAACCTCCTGTAACAGCAGCTGTAAGGAGGGTTTCACTCACTAAAATGATAAAAGTAAGGCACTTAAAGGTATTTTCTCAATTTTTTTAACAGACCCGCCCTCTCTACTTTAAAAAAAAAAATGCACATGCATAAACCCTCTACCTGCTCTCGAGAGGGAACACTTATTAAACCAGGAGCCCATTTCTCCTCATGCACGCTCACTTTAAAAGTTGCTGTTCTCATAGCTCATACAAGCTTACTGTGTCCGGGTGTCCGCCCTAACCCCTTAATCCCATTGAGGGATTGAGGGGTTAGGGCGGACTATGAGTGGGCACTATGTAGTGGAATTTCTAGTGAACTCAGTTAACTGACTGTTTGGACAGATGATCACTACTTTTTGCTTCCCATTGGTCACATAACTCGTCCACCACACGGTGCCTGCGCAATCTTTGACATTAGTCGCCGCTGTTGGGTAGCGGCAGCCTATGGCGACAGCAGCCGGCTGTGACAGCACATCGCATAATACTTTACGAGGACAGCTTCCCATGCAAAGTATTCTTTCGTTTCTTCTCATGCACTTCTTAGACACTTTTTAAAAGAACCGCAGTGAGAAAGGTGAGCTTCAATGACTGTCTGAAAGTGCGCATAAGCAGAAAATATATCTAACGGGGCAAACACATAAGATGGCCTTACGTAAACATATCACCAGAATGATTGACAATTAAGAGGACCACTTATTTAGATGATCCACCTGGAAAAAGAACATCCTCCACTATATCTTTAAACAAGTCCTTTCGCTCTCAGTTTAATTTGCCTTCAACTCATGATAGAGGTGCTAAACAGGTTCATGGAGGAAACCTATAGCTGCTGAAGAAGAGAAACCCGATTTAATTACAGCGGGAAAACATAAAAGCAGTCATTAAATGCTGTTAGCAGCATAACATGATATATATTTTTTTTACCAAGCTTCAGAATACTTGCGTAATAGATCTGTTTCGTTTCCTCATTACAGAAAAATGTAAAATTGAATCAATGAGTCTAACCAGAGGAATGGAGGTTTTGTTCACTCGGAAAGAGCACTTAAATAGGCTACTCATGTGATATTACGCAGAATTACACAAACCAAATTATCAAAGAGAAAAGCTGAGAGCTAGCATTAGCTAGCTTTTTGTGCTAACTCTTCATAGCAGAGATTTTCAGCAGCAGTAAGAAGTGTTTCTAGCTTTATACTGTATCTCAATCTAAATGTTTTGCTTCATGATACGTATTTGACATTTAATCCCCAGACAAGGCTTTGTCAACCTTGTCTCATTTGATTCTCTACCAGGAAATTTATACCAGCGCACTAAAACCCATATACGTCAGTTTATTTGTCGTTTTCGATTTAATGAGGAGATAAAAATGCAAAAATCCCAATTACTTTGTGGACTCGTACAAAATAAGGGTGATATATATTACCAATGTTGTAGCATATAATGTTAGAAATTAGTTTGGTTGATGGTAGCCTAAAATGATTCCTCATATCACAAAGGGTCAATACTGTATATGAATTCAGTCTGCGATCGATATGTCATCTGCCCATCTAACCATATAACTTAAATTTAATATCAACTCATATTTAAAAAACATAGATATGATTTTATTTTTTTTTTCAAAGCTCCTACAAGCACCAGCTTTCTTTTAGTAATAAAAAGAAAATTATAAGAAATCACCTATTTGCTATAGCGTTGTGCCTTATGAATTTCAAAATAAAGTTGTCCATTGAAGATGATGATATAAATTGATGTTTTCATTTTGCATCAATGTAATTCAATCATTAATGACTTAAGTGATGGATTGATGTGGATTGATGTATTGTTACACCCCTAATACATTATATTCTGTAGGTTTTATCATCCACTTAATGTCTATTGATTCTGTTTCTGGTCCCCTTTTAGTCCCAATGGCTTTTATAAAATCTAAAAGGTTAACCCCCTGATTAAAAAAAGGCAAGGGATTTTTTTAAATATTGCCTTACTGTATTTTAATGTCAGATCAGCATATAATAGTATAAATATAAATATTAATAATTTTTTGTTCTTTTTTTTCTTTTTTGTGTCCTGTTTTGCTAACATAGCTCTGGGAATAGAGGTCCTAGAGATGGTATAGCCCAACAGCTTTGCTTTTACATGGAGACCATGATGGTTGTTGCCATAAGGTTCCGCTTGATACTTACATGTGAAATTTTATTGAAAACGATTTAGGGAATAAAATCAAATACAACAGAGATTGAAAGGGAGATGAGAAAGAAAGAGGGGGATACAGGGAAAGAGATAAAGACAGGGAAATTCATCGAAAATAATTCTCTGTTTTAAGAGCATACCCTCAAGATGAGCACAAATCTATCTGTAGATCATTTTTCTACTGCTTTAAAAATCAGAATCATTAGGGAAAAAAATCAATGCTACTAGAAGTTTTATTTTATTTTATTTTTTTTTCTGAAAACAAATGAAATAAGAACATTAGGTGACTTTTTGACCATTGTACAAACTTTTTTTTTTTTACTTAAGAAAGTTCCTGAAAATCTGCAGCAACATTTCTTGTGCAGCATTTACTTTATCAAACCTCTTAGCATCAGGTTTCTGTCAAGCTGAATGTGTGAATGTCAGGATTTAGTTTTGTGATAAAAGTTAATAAAGCACCTTCAGACTCAGTTTGCCTTAAAGAGGATTATTGTTTAAGCTAAAATAAACATTATTAAATCTCCTTGGGTTGACGTCTCTTTGTGTTTTTCTGCAGAGTCGCGGCCGTTCCTGAAAACCCCCATGATGTTCTAGAACCATAACGGCACGTCTCGTGAACCTACTCACCTCCCCTTCCTGTACAAACTCCAACAGAAATACAGCATCCACTGGATTATATCACTGCGACAGCATCCCCCCGGATGGGACTTTTTTTCACTTGGCTACAAAATGATGAGACTACTATATGAGACACACTGGACTTATTTTGGGGGTTCTCTTAATTCCTCTTTTTAGACAAACCTTACTCCCTTCATTCCAGGTTTTCTGAACTTATCCCCAAACTTTTGTCTCCCATTTGTTTGGAAAACTGATTGATCCATCATCATTCCTGAGAACACAGATCCATGAAGAAAATGGACCAACCACAGCCTCTCCTACCATTTTTGGAAAGGAAAAGATGAGACATACCTTTAATTGGACAGACTGAGAGAAACAGTCCAATTATGTGCTTTGATCTTCAGGACTAGACTCTTTCTGATTGGTCCTGACCACATGGATGCGGTTTTATACTAAGGAAAAAAAGACACAACCTCATTCGCTGAATGTTGGATCGGCCAATCAGAGGAGGTCCAAATGGGAAATGAAAAAGGATTAAAGTATATAAAACCATGACTAAAAAACACTGAAGAAGAAGTGAAGGAAAACAATCCTGTGACCATCTGTGTCTCCATCGTTTGATTTCATTGAAGAACTCATGGGGCAACTTCTGATGCCCTTTGGCTAATTTTAAACTTTGAACTCTTCATCCTCTAATAGAAATACTTGCGACCCTTTTCTTTTGTCTTCACATTAAACTACTCTTTCAACACCGTATTTGTTTTTCTGCATGACTCCTCTCCTCATTTGTTTTCTCCTTCTATGAAATATCTCTTTTTTTTTTTTATCCAATCATTTTCTAAATTCCTCTCCAAAGGAGGAAATACTCTGAAAATGTTGGGTGCACCTTTTCAATGTAAAAACTATTTTCTATTCGCCATAAAAAATGTTGAATCAGTTTCTGACATGATGCAAAACTTTCAGAAAATAATTTTTATTACAGTGGAGTGATTTTTAAAGACGGTCTCCTCCTAAAGGTACAGAAAATTCTGCTCCTTGATGTTGAGTCTTTTTCACATTTTGGTTCTAAAAGCAGAAAAAAGCGTCAGCATTTAATTTGTGTGTGTCTGATTAAACTAGAGGATGCTTAAACTGCCCTAATGCAATCCCTTTTTGATGATTTTTGGATTATAAAGTTTCTGCAGACATTCAAATCAAGCGCTCCTCATCAAAAACCAGAAACCTTTCCTATATTTTCAGACCTAATCTGAGTGCAGACTGTTGTGTTAAGGCTTTGTTTATTTCACTGTGTGTTTTGTTCATTTGTTGATTACCTTTTTCAAGCGCGTAAGGGACGAATGAGGGAGGGGAATGGGCTGGGGCGGGTGGGGCCTGGGTCAAAGGGACATTCTGTGTAGATAGAAACAACATTCAGCATTTTGTTTTTGTTTTATTTTCTTCTGAGATTTCTCGGTCTGTCACTGTTCTCTGGGTTTGAAATGACTGCAAATATACAGTATTATAATGAACTGCAATGTCTTGTGGTGTTTTACAAAAACTGATATAGATTAAATGACTTCTGCTGTGTACTATGTAATTAAGAAAATAAGCTCATATAATTACTAATTGAACTACAGGGGAAAAATTTATTAAGCAAGCAGGATCTGACTAACTGGATGCTGCAAGTCCTCCCTCATGGAGAACAAAATGACTTCCTGGATGACGAGAGGAAAAGATAAGGGATTCATATATTGCAATTTGTCATTTAAATATTTGATAATATTATTTCTAAATGATAGCATATTTGATGCAACTCTCTGTAACTTTCAGCCACTATGAAGCACTCGATCTGTGACTTCCAGGTTTAGTGCTCCTGAAAGTATCTTGTAGCACTGCACAGTTTAGAATTAAATGGTCTACTTTGGCAGGGCTGGCCCGAGGTATAAGTGTGCTGTGCTACTGGTTAGTTAGACTCCACAAGAATAATTAATGATTTGATTTTTTTTGTTTGTCTTTTTTTTTTTTTTTTTACATGCATGTATATGACTATATAAATATAGTAACAAACTAGAAAAGCACTCGACAGTGCAAAAAACAATCCACTGGACTTTGTTTCCAATTTTGAAAACGCTTCCCATCCAGGAAGATTTTTCAATTTAAAATGTCAGGAATAGCATTGTGTTCGAGGTGTTATACAGTAGCCCTTCAAAACCTTGATGGACCTGGATGACTGAGAATCTTCACCAGATTTTTAGGAGAGTTTGTGTGTTTGTCTGTCTCTCTGTGTACAGGATAACTTGAAAAGTTAAGGACGGATTTTAATGACTTTTTTTTATTTTAGGTGATCCTCATGCCAAAGACAATCCATAAACTTTTGGTGATGATCCAGATCATAATCTGGATACAGGAATTATTTTAAAGATTCTCTGACATTGTGAGATATTTGGCGGAACAAACAGTTCCCTATGAAACCAGATGGTGGCAGCAGGGAGTATTGACAGCCTCAGCATTGGACTAAAAAAGTCTGGAGGGATTTTAGTGAAGAGAAAAAATTCAAGAAAAGGGAATGTTGTTGGTTTGTTAACAAGATCAATTGACAATGTATGAACGCATTTTATAGACATTTTCTACCAGAGGTGCACCTCATGCCAAAAAATGAATTAAAATATAGTAATGATCCAGATTATGTGCGAGGTTTAGCTACAAGTGCCAAGTTACACTTTGGGGCAAAATTTGCTGTTTGGCGGAGGTCTGCACTCTCCGAGTGGTTTTGTAGCTACTATTGAAATGGGTAACTTTGGTTATCAAGGTGCATTGAAAGCAAGGGGGATGGGGTTTCATGGGGCTACTGTATAAACCATGCCCAACTAAACTAAAAATAAACTGCATAGTATTTGACTTGAAAATGAAAATTAAAACTGAATAATTATTACAAATAGAAGACGGTAAGCGGCACAGCCAGAGCTACAATGATTGCATAGGAGGTTTGTGAATGATCTGATCATCAGACTGCTAATTGCAGCAATAGATATTATTGGCAGCAACAGAAGGCACCAAATCAAATTTTGCTGATGGCCTCATGGCAGCTTGGGCTGGCCCTGTGTTTTGGAATCTGATAGCAGACCACTTTGGAGCAGCAGATTTAGACGTCATGGAATTAGTTGAAAAGGCAAGGCCACATTTTTGCCTCTACATTAAATCCTACATCAAAGAACCAAAAATATGCTTGATCAGGTTAGAGTTTTTCAGAAGAACAGCCTGTATGGAATATAGATACCACATACTATCAACTCATCATTTAATATAAATAAAAGAAAATGTAATGCATCTCAATTTAAGCTAATACATGGGTCAAATGTTTTACAGTGTTGCTTTAAGAAAGGTTTGGTTTTGGTTATTTATTAAGGAAGGGATTGGAGACTAGTTTTCTCATCAATGAGGTCAACTTGAATGCCAACCAAAAACATTTCATCGGAGCAGATGGTAGTGAAGTTGCTGCTTGGCCTTTGATTGTAAGAAGAGACCGTGGCTCAATTTGAGTTCATCAGAGTGCATCTGTTGGCATCTGTTTCTAATTCTTGCTTGTTTCTCTTTTGTGGATTCAGCAGTAGGTGGGTAAGTTAGGAAGTCTTAAATCCTGGTCCAATTTTGCTCTTCCAGGTGTCATTGTGCGGCAGAAAAGCATATGGATGATGCTACTTGAAAAAGAACAACAAAAAAATGCTGGTAACAAAATGTTGCGAGAGGCTGAAGCTCTCCATTATAAAAAAAAACAAAATATATGAAAATCCGGACATTTCAAGTGTCACAAAAAGTACACGTGAGGAAATAATGTATTTTTTGACTTCCAGAAGGTGGGCTGTGCTCCTATGTGACATCATGCAAAGGATTGTGGGATTCCTTACAGCTCCTTAGCGCTAGCAACGGCCCTCACAAGCTGCCCGTTCTAAAATAAATCCTGATAGGAAGCATACAGGTTCATCCAACCTTCTTCCATATTGCTAGCACATTTGGACAGCACTCATCATGATGAACGCTGAAGAACTAAAGCTATAACTAATCACACATTTCAGATCCATCTTTCGCTATCCAATCCGCACCGTACCATTAGTTCGTTTGCGCAACCAGACATACATCTGCATCATCCTTCATTGTGCTGTATATAAAAAAAAAATAAAATGATAGGTGAACTAAAAAAAATTATGTTTAAAAGCTCAAATATTTATTTTCTGGGGAAATAAATGTTATATTTTCTGTTATATCATCTCAGATCTGTCCCAGAATTGGGATCCTGCCGTACCTACAGCGGACTTATATTTGATATAAATGTAGTAATTTTAAGTTTCATGTTAGTCTTGCATTGCACTTTTATGGTACTATATGTAGTGCATACTCTAAAGAAAGCTCAACTAAATTCAGAAAAACACTTTGTAATCAAAGTTGGCCGGACTGCTCTGAGCATATCCTATGATGACGCCAGTCAAGCAATTATGGGAGAATGTGAAAAGATCTAGTTTTCTCAGAAAAGACACTAAATTATTTTTATAAAATGTAGTTTAGCATTCTTTGATAATTAAAGGATAAGTATACATACTTTATTTACCGTAATTGCATTTTTTTATGGAGACCTGGATGAATATATGCTTGCAGGTATGAAATGAGCTAATCGTATAGTTAATGCTTCCTGTACAGATCAGCCTCCCTTGATTATTTCTTTATAACAGCTGTTTAAACTACTTACTTCCTTCCTGCCTCCTAGTGGCAGCAGCCATTCGTTGCAGCTTGGTAGTGGGAAACAAGATGATCCCTTTGGAAAACTGCCTGTACTTCTGTTAGAATTTGCATATAGACATTTTTTAACCACTCCAAAGGAAATACCAATGGCTAAAAAAAAAATACTAACTCTAGGACATCACCCTACCATCAGATGTTTTTTCTTTTTAACAAACTAAATATGTTTCTGATCCATCCACTCATTCCTCACCAAAAAGCTTCCATCTGGAGATGCCCTTCAATGAACACATGATGTTGCTTTATTGTTTAACACAGTCTGTAACCAAACACATCATCGCTGTCTCCTTCTAACCTGTTATTTTTCCAGGACGTAACTCTATCTGTCAGGGAGGTTAAGGCATTTATACTGTGATATTCCAGATCTCCACCTACTGATGATGGGTATTATAGTAAAGTATTTGGAGGACGCTCTCATACACTGAGAAGCCTGACAGTAAGCGCACACACACGTGGTCTATGTTCCATTTAGACTGTATATTTACTCTGCATTAGGAGCTTAATGAGGTGAGGCCTTTCCCTCTTTCCCTTACTTTCTCTTTAATGGATCTCTACCTCTTTCTCTCTCTCCATATTTGTCTTTCATTCACTCTCTCATGTCCCGCTCCTCTCTCTCCTCCTCTGTTTTCCTTTCCCCTCTTTTACAATCATCCCCACTGTCACTCTTTTGACCTTTGCTTTTCATTTTTCCATCCAGAGTTTTCATCTTCTGTCTCTTTCTGTCTCTCCATCTCTCTCCGTTTACCAAATAGCTGATGTCACTTTTTCCATTTCCCACTAATGGAAGCAGAAACACTGAG